TTTGTAATTTGAATTACCACGTTCTAATTTTTCTTCAAAGTCCAACTGTTTTGGTATAAAATGAGATTCTTAATATTTCTTACGTGTGTGATCTCTTTGGAAAAAATGCTATATTTTGCTCGGGAAAAAGAAACATTCAATGAATAAAATAGATGAAAGTGTTTGTTACTTTTAACTTGAAAATTGAGTGAAATATATATAAGATATAAAAAAAACGAAAGTTTCGTAGATACGCCTCTGATATTAAATCGCCCTTAGGAAAAGCAGAAGTTACTTTGCTTTGCATTAAGTCTTTCAATGGGTTTTTGATCAACAGTGTCAGAATTTAATTACTTTCAGTTGAATAAACACCTCAGTTTCTTTCATTAACGTTTTACCAATCATAGGTACGAGTATATGAATCAAATTTATCTTCAGTACAAATGGTCTTTCATATTTAAGAAATGTTCTCCAATTTCCACCTCAAATGTAATATTTGAAATTGAAGCGTTATTGAATAGGCGCAGTGATAATCTTCCCGAACTTTTTCAACTCTCTCCCGATGCTTTGACAATTCAAGTACGAGTGTAGTTAGACCGGGGCCCAGTACCTCGCGTCGGTTGGAGACCCATTGACTTGGTCAATTCACAGTAAACTAGTGATACGAGTGGATTCAGCCTCTCAGTATCAAAAAAGATGGTTTCCTGGAGAATGTACTTGAACGAATCATCGCAGTGGTGAAGTTTTTTGTCATAGATAGGACTTCCATTTCGCAGTGTTTAATGAAAATCCTATCATCATCCAGCAATTTGCTTCATTTCTTAACTATCATGTAAAACAATTTGTGAATTCTCCAAATATATTGATATCATCTCGTAGTTTTTCTCGACTTGAGGTTAACATACTGAGAATTTCTAGAAAAAAGCCCGAAAGATGTACCGCTACTGTTAAAATCTATCTTTCTATTATCCAGCTGTCGCCCCCCTACGAACAAGTCTCAAAAGTCGAAACTTGTGCGAATTAACGACACCTTCATAATATGGAACCATGGGAATGCAGAACTAGACACCTTCCTGAAGCACATCAACAACGTAAGTCCTTCCATCACTTCACAATGCAGAAGGAGGTCCACAACGAATTGCCTTTCTTAGACGTATTGGTGTTCTATCAGGACATTTTCAAACTTATACATTAATTAACGAAATTTTTCTTCATTATGATCTCCTACCACATAGTAACGGCTACATCCATCAATATATTGAATTTTAAAGTTCCATCGCAATCAATCTATCCATTTGTTTGGAGAAAACAGAAAGGAATTTTCCAAAAACATTTAGGATTTGACGGCTTCATTAAACATTTCAACTGATACACGTAACGTGATCTTCCAAGGAAAGAACTGTTTCTGTGACTGTAATAAATGTTCATGAAAAATTCGAAGGAGGAACATAAAAATATGTTGTTTTCTCAGTAGCCTAATTTCACCATTTTAATGAGTTGAATCAAATTCCTTCATCAATTAAAAAGTTCCCATACCTTTATCCGATCAAATATTCTGGGTCACAAGACAATTCTAAAACAAAGCTACTACCATAATTTTACAAAAGACTATTACAGGAAATTGTATATTTTCAGATAAATCTTCGACGTGAACAAACGTTTTGTGCTTTTTGCGAGTAAATTAAGTGAAATAAATCTTAATCGAGAAAGGCGTTTAATAGCCTTTCTCAAAGAATCGAAGTGGGCGTTATGCAGCTGTACGATCTAAAAGGTATATTTATTATGTCATGATCGATTAGCTGTCTAAGATTCTGAGAAATATTTACTAGGGTCTCGCAAATTGGCTTGTATATCTTCTAATTCAGGTCATTCGTAGCTTTTGGCAGAGTAAATGAAGTAGTGAATACTGATTTTTAGTGTAACCATTAGATGCATAGTAATTAGAGAAAGGCATGTAAAGAGAATTATTTTCAATTATCCGTCAAACAAGAAATTATTTCCTTGGCGCAACAAAACTGACACTATAAGTGGATGTGGATTACCGCAATACAGTATACAGAGTGTTTTTCAAGTGCTGTAATCAATTTAAGGGTCGATTCCTTCTGATACTTCATGCAGTTCCTCAATCAATTAATCAATCAAAATATACTTTATTGTCTAAAAAACTCTTGTTTTGTTAACAAAGTAGAATATACACGTACAGAAAAAAAATTTAGGCAAAATACACACAATTATGTAAAATATAAATAAAATAGAATTTATAGGCCCAAAAATTTTGTGCAGTCTTTATTTTCAATCTTCTCATTTTCTAGAGGCATATCTTCTAAAGTACATTTGAAAGTTAATATATTTGTTTTTTTTTATATTAAAAGAGAGAAGATTCGAGTCGCACCAAGACTTAATTGCATCAATATCTCTGCTTATCTTATTATTCAAATCTTCAACAGTTTTACTATGCCATAAAATGGTGGTGTCGTCAGCAAATAAGGTAATTTTTCCAAAAGTATTTATACACAGTAAATCATTGATATATATAAGAAAAATAGTGGGTCCCAAAACCGATCCTTGTGGCACTCCATAATCTTTATTAATATATTTTGAAGTTATATCACGACTTGACTGCGCCCAGTTAGGTAGGATTCGAACCAATCCAAAGTAACTCCCTCACAACCGTAGCAATGTAGTTTCCGCAAAAGTATTTTGTGGTCTACACAGTCAAAAGCTTTTTTAGGTCACAAAATACTGCTGCAGCACATCTCCGGCATTTATATCTGAATATACTTCATACAGGAAGGAAAAATTGCATCTTGGGTGTTCTTTTTAGCCTTGGGTTTTCATTTCTTGTTAGTAATTTTTAATTTTCATTTCGCGTTGATAATTCAATTTTTTGATTGTTGCTTGTATTTTCAGGGATTTCAAATCAATTTATATCATATTAGACAACGAAAGTCCGAACTAATGAATGAGTATATATATACTATTTGAAGATTTGAAAGATAGTGATGGTTAGTAATACCTTTCCTCAGTAATTATATTGAACTCCAGAGGCAACTGCAAAAGTGTGATGATTAAATGTATTTCATCTGAAAGCAAATAAATTGTGAGAAATGTACCTATTTCAGTTTTTTTCATTTCATCACCAATTTGAAAGAATGATAACCGGTTGGTAAATGTGATTGGTTCACTCTACGCATATAATTAACGGCTAGCCATGTGAACATTGGTTCCAACCCAAACTTTGGGCAATCAATGTTTACTGCCCGTATTAGGAATCGCACGTTAAGATATAATACCTTGTTAATCTTCATCTCGCATAAGTTTAGATTTCTGAGGGTTGTCGTTCATGAGGATGCGACAGCTGGTTAACAGAAATACACACACAATTTGGAAAATTTCAAATATCATTTGCCAATAACATCAAATCAACTATGGATTAAAATTGTGTTTTCCGTTGGACAACGTTCAGAGATAGATTCATTGTAATTTTGAAATTATTGTTTCCAAAAAGTTTTTAGTTTTTGTGTTACTTGTGATATTCAAAACCTGTCGTTTTTCTGTATGCGAACAAATTTCAATCACATTTCTTTAAGATTTAATTGAATATATTTTTTACTGTGTGTTAGGTAGTACATATACATCACTATTTTATAATTAGATTTTCCCATACAATTGTATTTTCCTAAATACAATGGAGAAGAGAAAATGAATTTGAATCTGCTACAAAAAAAGAAGAGTATTTCAATTCCAACAAAATTGATTTACGAACTGCACAGTGGGATAAAAATCAATGTTAAGTTAGGTTGATTTTTATCAGATGAAAAGATTGATGATTTCATAACAAATCTTCGTAATTTGATTGCATGTTGTGAGTTTGAAACTGTTACTGGTAGTTTCACAACCATTTTAAAATCAGATTGTACCAGGCGAACAAACATATTGAGATTGTATTAACTTCTTCTCAATGAAATGGCGGATCAGGTAGCAAAACAAGCCCCTAAAAATCCAGAAGCCACAAAAGTCTCCTCAATCCCATATCAAGCCTTGGACAATAAAAGAGGTTAGACAACACTGGTTCACAAGATGAGAGAACTTTGATAATGAACTGAAGGATATTAATCCAAACATAATCAAACACGTAGCAGAAGAGATTACTAGAAGACATCAAGTAATCTACTCCAGATTACGAATCGGACAAACCAAATTGACCCGCCAGCTTATTTCCAAGAAAGAAGAATCTTCTAATTGCGAATCTTGTCGGAATGTCCCGTCCTTGAACAACAAAGAGAATTCTGTGGACTATTAAATCTTCGAGAGAATGTATAGAAAAGTAAAATTAGTAATCCTATGGAATTTTCTCCGATCAGTAAACATAATGAACAAAAATCTAAAACGCCATAAGTTTCATTTTAATAGAAGAAATGGAAAAAACTCTCAAGGTTGGTATTTGTGGAATAACGGAAATAACAGAACTATAAAATCGCTGCAAAATTCTATAAAAAATATTGAATTTTCGAAAAATATCCATGTGCAATTTCACAAGCTAAATAAAATGAAAATCAATAAAAATTTGAAATTTATAAAAATTATCAAATAATAAATATCACTATTTTCCCAACTACAAAAGGAGAGATCTATAGGAAGGGCACTATTGAAAAAAATATCTTATATAATAACTAAACGCAACAAATAAATGCAAAACAGCAGCAAAACGATTTGATATTGACCCATCACTATGTGCCTATCAATTACGATTGTCAAATAGTTATTGTTTCAAACAAGTTGACAATGTTTCATAGTGNTATGATATAAATTTATTTGAAATCCCTGAAAGAGTCTATAAAGAATTAAAAAGATTAACTGAAAAAGTTAACCACCAAAGCAACAACCAAAAAATCAAAAAGAAAAACTGTTAACACGAGATGAAAGTTAAAACAATATTAACAAGAAATGAAAATTAAAAATTATCAGAACATATTAGTCAAAGATTTACAATTAAATTTAATTTATAGAACAATACAAACCCTTTATCCTCAGGAATCAAACAGGCCGCTATAGATGTCATATTAGATAAATTTCAGTAGCTCCATGTTGATGGTTTCACTAGTCTAAAATAAAAATAAAAACTTAATGTCAGTTGTTCACCTTTGAAAAATAACTACCGTATATGTAGAGAAAGATGTTGAATAGAACGAGAAGGAGGAAATATTTTCATCCTGCTTTTTCTAAAAGATAGCCTGTTGTATGCCAGAAACAATGAAACATGGCAATATTTAGATAAAATATGAGGTATGGACGGATGTTCATGAATTCAGCCTTTCTTGAGAACGTTACTCCGAGAGGAATGCAGACATAAACAGAAACGGATGCTATCAATCAACCCCTAAATGAGATGGTATGTAAGGATAAGGGATATTGAATAAGGTTGTCCGTGCCTAATAATGGGTCGGACTTCAATTATTATTCACTACTTACAGGTGACATTTCGAATTTTTACGAGTATCATACGGCTGCATATGATGGAGAGATATCTATACTTACTGTATTACAATTCAATGGAATGTATTACAATTCAATTTCAGAAGAAATAAATGTGATTGCAAAAAATAGACCAACTATTAATTTACATTACCTTCCGCATACACGTGGAAAACGTATATCAAGTTGACGAGACACTTTTCGAAATTTGCAAAACGAATGATTTCATAATTTGCCGCTATTTATTCGGTAATTAGTTGCGGAACACAATATTTTTTCGCTCCTTTTTTTAGAAAAATACATGTTGTCTCGCTAACTTGATATCAAGTTAGTGATACGACTTTTTCATTATTAAGTTTTCCAGAACTTTGACTAGACCATTGGTTTAGTATATTTATTCGCTAATTAGTTGCGGAGAAAAATATGTTTTCGTCCCTTTTATTCAAAAAATACATGTTGTCTCGCTAACTTGATATCAAGTTAGCGATACGACTTTTTCATTATTAAGTTTTTCAAAACTTTGACTAGACCATTGGTTTAGTATATCTATTCGCTAATTAGTTGCCGGCTTTGAATGGACTTGGATGGAAATAATACATTTTAATTAAGTCTCACTGGAGATTCAAACAAAAATGTGATAATTGTATAATCATAGTTTCATAATTCTTTATCCAGTTTACAGTAAGCATAAATGATTCAAAGTCAAGGTACTTCACGACGTTTCGATTGTTGGTATCCACAATCGACAGGACTATTCCTCCAAGAGATGATTATTTACTCGTGAAAGTCATTCGAGCATTTTTTACTTATCCCCTCTTCCCTCTTTCCGCTTCACCGGTTTAGCGGGAGTTGACCTTTTTCCGCTTGAATAAAGGTTTCCAAATGCTGCGTACCTCTACGCTAGCGTCTTTGGACAATATATATGCAGCTTCTTTGAACTTCCTCGCAAACCAAAGTTTCTCCCTGTGGATGATCTCAGCTTGGGACCACTCGATGTTATGTTGAAGAGTCTCCTCGCTGTGTTCCTCTTGTGCTCGGCAATGCGGACTTTCAATGACCCCTCAGTTTCACTGACATAGGATTTGCCACACTCACAAGGTATCCGGTGAATGCAATTTTTGGAATCGCAGTCCACGTCTGGTGGCCTGGTTTTCGTGAGACTGCTACGGATGGTGTTTCCGGATTTGACCCAATTCTTCTTATTCTTTTCGACAATCCTCTGACGTAGAAAAGTACAAGCACTGGTTGTAACGGCTTCTCTTCCTTGCGAGGCACTTGCTGTGCTCTAACCAAGATCTATTCCACCATCACTTTGAAGTTACCTTTCCGCTAAAAATCTTAGTTGATGATGCCTAGTTCCTTCTCAAGACCTTCCTTCGTATTACAGAGCTCGAGTACGATTCACCAGAGTCTTGATCATTCCTCTTTTGGTAAATTCATGGTAGTTGGATTCGTGATTCAGATACTGTCCTGTATGAGTGCGTTTTCGGTAAACATATGTTTCCCAATTAGTGTCGGTCTTCTTCACCGATACATCTAAGAATAGCAATTCGTTGTGAACTTCAATCTCTGTTGTGAAATGGAAGATCTCACGCTGATGATGTGCTTCAGAAAGGTGTAAAGTTCTAGTTCTGTGAGACAGACACATAGCGAGTAGAAACCAGCACGTTGAGAATAGTAGAGCATGTTTGGACTCATCAACATCAAGTGGTCCCAAGCTGATATCATTCACAGCGAGGAACACTGGTTCAAGAGGAAGTTCAAAGAAGCCAACGACGTAATAATTTTAAATGAAAGACATAAATATTAGAGATAATCAGTAACATAGAAGAAATACATGACAAATTAGATGTATTGAAAAACAGGTAATTTATTTAGCATAGGATCAATAACAGGTAGTAGTTAGATAATACTAACCGGTGTGGTTAGGTCATACTAACACGTAGTAGTTAGGCCACTAGCATATAAAAACAGTAACATAGTAGTAAAATTTAGTCATAATGATCTTCTGAGCACGCCTACTTGGTTAGAGAAACTAGCGTCGAGAGAACGTAATTTTTGTTCTTGTGTTGGGAAAGTGTTTTCAATAGATGATCTTAAGTGTTGTCCATTCCACAAAGAATCATCTGCAGATGGAAGTCTTGCAAAATTAATGGTTTTTTATCGAAAAAGAGAGTGTCAAATAATTTGCATCATTTAACACCCACTGAACATTTTGTGGAGGTCTAGACATTAGTTTCTGTGAAGTGGAAAAATGAGATTCTTCATTGAAGTTATAAAAAAAGGAATTGACATAAAATTTACAAGTGTTACTGAAAGTATTAGTGAAATATCAACCCATCTGAATGATTTCAACGGGGATCAGAATATTTCTAAGATCTAAGAATTTTAGGTTACGTGTTCACCAGAACACGTTTGTTTGAAGGTAGTTGACAATGTTTCTTGGTGCATTTCATTAGTTCGGACTTTCATTGTCTATTATGATATAAATGTATTTGAAATCCCTGAGAGAATCTGTGGAACAATTAAAAAGGTTAGCTGAAAATAACAATTATATTAAGCAAAAAAACTGAAATTACAATGAAATAAAACA